TGCGTAGATTAGTTACTCCACTAATATTTGTTAATTGTAAGTTGTAACTTATAAGTTCTATTGAATAAATTTTTTTATACAATTATTGTTTTGAATTTTAATTTTAATATATACAATTAATTATATATACTAAAGTACTAAACTAATTTTAAAATACTTAATTTAAAGTTTACAATTTACATTACTTTAAAATATTTAAATTACAAATTTAAACTTCTCAAATTTGAAATTTAAAACTTTAAAGTTGAAACTTGAAATTTGAAAAATGAATCTTAAAATTTGAAAATTGAAACTTTAAATTAGAAAATTTATTTTGATATTTGAAAATCAAAAATTAAATTTAAAATTTATTAGCTAAAGACGTACCATTTCAATAAAAATATATAAATATTAAAAAAAAAAGAATCCACCGTCCCATGTCATCCCGTCTCGTCCCGTCCCCCCAAATCCTATCCCATCCCATATAGTGGGACGGAATGGGACCTATTTTCGTCCCCCCAATCCCGGTCCCGGATGAAATCCCCCCTCCCCGTCCCCCGTCCCGTCCCCCTTCGTCCCGTCCCCCAGTCCCCTTCCCCGTCCCCTTGCCAGCCCTACCCTCGATCATCATTCACTTCATATACAAACTGACGTTTCTAGAATTATTTGTTTCTTTTGATATCTTTCTTAATAGATTTTTATTAGCAAAAAATTACTTTTTTACCCTTGGTAGTCCTAGGCTTTACTCATCTATATAATAAAATATATTAAATAATAAATAAAAAATATATACAATATAAAAATAAATATAAAAATTCATAATCTAATATTTAATATGTTTTTTACTCTCGACAAATGACACTAATTTATTATAATTCAAGATTGTAAGAAGTAAAAATCAAGAATAAAAAGTGCAACTCACTGTTATATGAAATTCGATCCGTAGATTATCTAATGTGGAAATTTCCTAAGTATATGATATATAGTTCTCTGCAAATTAGTTTTTGATTCCATATATTTATACTATTTCAAAATTTATCCCGTTAATTGGTTATGTATTTTCTTAAACTACAATTATGCGGTCATTATTTATCAATTCTTACATTATCAACTCTATATTCCTTTTTTTTTATCTATTTAGAATTGTGCTATTTTTATTTTCTTATTTAAGTCACAATTTTTAAAGATAAAATAGATATTATGTTGTAGATAAAATAGGTTTAGTAAAATTATGTGAATACTTATGTTTAAAAATATTATATCTAATTTAAAAGAAAATTATATACATGGAATTAAGATAAAATAAATATTATTTTGAAGATAAAATAGGTTAAATAAAACTATATACACACTTATGTTTAAGTAACATTACATATAATAAAAAAGGAAATTACATACATGAAATATTGTAGAATTATAGTGAAGTCGTTCTAGTAGTAACAAACATAGATGAACGATTCGAATTGTCAAGAGTATAAAAAGTAAAAGTATTTTTCACATTATTATTATAATCAAACCAATACAAATTGATTGTCAAAAATAATATAAAATGAGTTTGTGGGCTACACATGAAACAAATTATGTTGTGACTCTTGAAAATGAAAATTGAATTCTTCTAGAAAAATATTGTGACAATTAATTATACAATTATAAATTTAGAATTTTGTCATAATAATGTTTAAAATTACAAAATTGTCATTGGTCGTCCTCATCATCGCTCTTCTATATCTTCTATATAACTAGATAATTGAAGGCCCGTTCAGGGCCCAATATAATAATTATCTTTTTTTCAATTTTAAGTTAAAGAAATTATCCAAATTAATATCTTATTTTATTATAGTTTCTAAAAGATTTCTACTATATAAAGAATTACAAAAATCTCCTCTTAAATACATTTGTATCCTCTTTCAGACACAGCAATATCTCCAGTCCAATACATTCCTATCCTCTCTTTAATACAGCTTTATACCATCTTGAATACATCCTTATCTTCTATCTGATACATCTCTCCCCTCTTGGATACATACATATTCTCTCTCAAATACACCCCTCCCCTCTCGAATTCATCTGTGAGCTATGTGTCTGCAAGTTTTCTCAATAGCAATATATTACGATCGATGTATCCGCATGTGTGCTGATTTATCTGAAATTATTTAATTCTAAAAAAATTTATAATTTGTAAAAAGTAGGGATATGATGTATTTAACTCTTTACACTATGAAAATTTTACTTTAAAATAATTTACGTGACATACATTTCTTTGTAGTTAGTTTTAAAAGAATAGTGTATAATATATTTAAATAACATTTTGACTTTAAAATATTTATTTTATTCTTAGTAAGATGATTTATAGTCATATGAACATCTATGGTTTGTTTTAGACAACGAATTTTAAAATTGTTTTTTTCTTTTAAAAAAAATCTCCATGTTAAGCTAAATTAAAATTATATAAACTGAAAGGGAGTGAATACAAACTTTAGATCAATTTCATATTTATAAAATATAAGTTTTTGTAACTATTTTGTCTTTTAACAAAATTTAAAATGAAAATAATTCACAATTATTTTTATAGTTTTTTTTTTGGTTTAATCAATAATCTATCGATAATAATAAAAAAATCTAATTTAGATAAAGGCAATAAAGTATTTTAATTTTTAAATTCAAGTATTAATATCAATAAAGAAAACATTTATTTTTTAGTTGTAAAACATTCATAATTTAATATTTAATGTGTTCCTTACTCTCGACGAATGACACTAATTTATAATAATTTAAGATTGCAAGAAGTATAAATCAAGACTAAAAAGTGCAACTCATTATTATATGAAGGTCAATATGTAATTTATTTATTGTGGAAGTTTCATATGTATATAATATATAATTCTATGTCAAATTAATTTTTGTTTCCATATATATATATATATATATATATATATAT